TTTTGAAAATGACTGATTTAGTGGTTTTCGATAACGCTCAGCAACTTTCTAATTAGAACCATATGTCTATTTCCACTAGTTAAGAAGTTAATTAACAAATTTTAATTAATTAGTTGGCTAATTACTATGTTTTTGGCAATTCCTGACGTCCGCCGTGGCTGGTAATTTGTTCCCGAAGAAAGTTTTTTCTTTTTAACCCTTTAATTTTTAGGATTTTTGAAAGTATTCGCAGAAACACCCGGTATATATATGTGTGTGTGTGTGTGTGTGTGTGTGTGTGTGTGTGTTTGTGCGTGTGTGTGTGTGTGTGTGTGTAAAAGATTACAATTTTTAACAACAAAAACACACACAAAAAAAAATCGCGAACCCAGGCAGTTTGCGTAAGTTCTGATACTTCGCGCTTCATAGTAGCATAACAAACGGCGAACAAAATTTTTAGCACACTTAAAAAACGTTTATTGAAATTTTAGCCTAAAGTCGCGGTCACACGACTTTAATTACAACACATTATACAAAGGCAGTCTGCAGACGCTGAGGCGTCTTTCTTCCTTGTATAGACGAACACACGGCTCTGACGACACGCCTCCGCGGTGGCGCTGTTGTCGCCGGGGCGCATGCGCAGAAGCTTCACCTCGCGGGAATCTGATTTCTGCGCTTGCGCAGTGCCCACACCTAGAGTGCGGGCAAACGAGGGCTTGTTTGAAAAAAAAAACAGTTTGCACATACATGTGCATGAAGTGAACATGTGCAAGAAGCAAACTTGCTTCGAACATGCATGGGGCGTCTCCGCCCATAATCCTGTCTGCAGCAAATGCCGTGTCTTTTTGTATGGTGCATGACCAGTGCGAATATGGCTTAACGCGTGCTCGAACATGTATAGCTTCGAGCCTAACGCACTTCCGAGAACATCAGCTCGGCCGCGCTACGTTGAACCAAGCTCCCCACGTTGGGCGCCAATTGTGGCAACTGCGATCGATAAATCAACCCGAAATTCAACAAACGGTCGCGCGTTTCATCCCCCTCCCTCCCAAAAAAGAATAAAAAAGTCTGCGTTCGACTAAGTCGATCGATACACTCATGCTTGCGAGTCTACCGTTCTTCCTGAAAACTACGTCGGCCCCAACGCTATAGCACGACGTTGCTGGTAGCATGCGTGTGCTTGAACTATTGTTTCAACAACAACGAAAGGTTTGTAATAATGAGCGGAGGTTTCCCTATATATTATTTTGCTCGTGTGCTAGCCGGCTGAATAAGACTTAAATGGTGATAATTGGGAGTGCTTGCCCCTTGAACTTCTACCCGTATGCCTGCCCTTTTTCACGACATTAAGAAGAAAAAAAAAAGAAGAGAAAAAGCAAGGATTTTGAATTCCATTGGGGCAGAATTCCCACAGTTTTTGCGTTCATTAATAGAATAAACATTTTTCCTTATTTCTTTCCAGCGTACTCGAACGACTTATGCGTTATTCTGTCGTCGCAATTCAAAAGCGCATAAAAAACGAAAAAAAAAAAAAAGAGATCGTTTTTTGGGTGGGGTATTTTTTTAGCATGTATGTTCGTACTGCCAGAAATTCGACAAGCGCCGATAACGAACGAACACGAGAGAGACTAGCATATTACGTAGTACTGCCACCCAATATATATCACGAGCTGTATAGATGCATTCCTCAGACTACTAAATGCTAAACGATGGAGAGTAAGAGCACATTCGGATATGATCTTTGGTCACTGGTGATGAAATGTGGGCTGGAATTGGTGCATAGGATTGATCTTTCCGGATGCACGTCAAACCATCTACGGTCATAATGGCGTCGGAAAACAACCTCGTGGGACCGTACGTTGAACTTCCAGTAACTAAACGAACGTCTTCGAGGGAACAGATGTCAAGACAAGAAAAAGAAACGCTTTCATCTTTGCTTCACGTCAGCCAGGTGTAGTCAGACTGCCTTCGTTGTAACAGTATCATAGAGTTCGTTCACATCGGGAACGACAAGCCTATTCACTGTTTTGTTCGGGTATTATCTCCGCGCCTTTCATCGTGCGCATGGAGTTCATTGCATCGTCTCTGATTTCGCAAACACCTCTTTCTTTTCATTTGGAAATTAAATAGTAATGTAGATTGCATAAATGTGACATAACTCGAAATGCGCTTTCAGATACACACAGGGGAACAGCGTAATGCTGTAACAGTTTTTACGCTGATTTTGGTAAAGAAAACGGCGGTGTCTGTACTTCCAATCAAATTATAGCAGGGCTTACATGAAATCGACAAAACTCGAGAGTTACCCAAGTTATCTTTGCACATACTCACGATAACAGCCGCCAGTTTATATAATGGTTAAAACAAGATTGACCCAGATTTCGAACAAAAAAGTACCTCGGCGAACGCTACAAGTAATTTATAAAGGGCGATTCACACACTTTCGTCGAGTGCGACTGAGTGCAACTGCAACGGCTTGCAACGTACGGGTTGCTATGGCAACAGCTGCGTCGGTTGCATATAGCAACAAAACCGGCTTTTACCCCGCCGTTCTGTTGGAGCCGACGCAGTGGTTGCCATAGCAACCCGTACGTCGCAAGCCGCTGCAGTTGCGCACGGTCGGACTCGACGCAAGTGTGTGAACCAATTCCTTAAGGCAGCCTGCACCAGAACACGCTGCACCACCGAGTGTTTCCACTAATACAACTCATGATAGTAAAGTAACCATAGTGCGCTCGCCATGGCCCTCTTCAACAATAATTGAAACATATCCCACGAGGCCTAACCGCAGCCGCAACGCAGCGACAGTGCTGCGACAAACGGGGATCGAGGGGGCAGTGCTACCCATACAACCACTGGCGTGTGTCGGACGTGCCGGAGAAAACAGCAGTGGTTGCGCGGATAGGAGCTCCCCACCAGAGCCACTGAAAAGACAACGCTTCAGAGTAATGACACCTTCGCCATATTGGTGCTTGAACTCAGTGTTGCCAGTTATCCGGAGCTTTATCTGAAATAACAGGAAACGCTTTTCCGTCCTCCAGAAACGTTAAAACAGTCCGCAACGGAGCAAAACAATATCGTCTGAATTGTCTTATGCCGCATCTAAAGCTAACGCCAATTGCGCCCACTCTGCACAAAGCACCAAAATGGCGGCGCCCACAAGACAGTCGGGGAATTAAGTGCCGTTATCCCAAGCGTGCCCCTTTATCTGGTGGCTCCGGTCGACACTGACCCCCAGATGAACGCCGGACATGCAGGACACACTTCCAAATACATCGAGCTCCACGGGGCAACACACAGAGAGGGAGGCCCTCCGGAAGGCAGCGTTCACTTAAAGGGCTACTCCACCGATTTTTTCATTGTCTCCGATTTTCTTGAAATTTTGCTAAACTAACCAACAAACATCGCGAAAATAGTATCCCAAATATTAGGTCAAAATATTGTTTTTTCGCGAAGTTATTGAATTTACAGTTTTGGTCCTCACCGTGTTTTTCAAACTGAAAGTCTCTACTGGCACCAATGAAAAAGTGACGTCACTGGAAGGCAGGGGTCCACTCTTTGGGCTGTAGATTTCGTTTTAAACTGATTCGAAGCAGTTTCATGGTGTCAAATGAATGCTTGGGAAGCTCGCTGCAGTACCCGCGCTCCAGCACGGAACAAATGATTGGCACATTCTATTTTTTGGCTGCTTGCTCGACTGGCAAGCCTGCCTGCCACTGACGTCACGGCCCTGAAAAGCGCGCGTATATTTGAATGTTGGTTTTTGCATCATTTTCATTTGCCGATGTCGCAATAACTATTATGAATTTCGCGATTCTAAATAGCATACCGGAGAGAGTAAAGGCCGGGGAGTCAGAAAATATAGTTAGTTGAGGTAGCTCAAAAAATCGGTGGAGTACCCCTTTAACAACCAGAACAGAACCGTGGTAAGGACACCGGGCGTCCGAAGGGCTCCTCAAACCAGACTTGTTCCCGATTCAACATAAACGCCGGTTTTGGTGTCCTTCGATGTGATCAGTGCCGGCTCTCTTTTCCTCGGCTGTACACAGAGATCGCAACCACGTGGTCGCCATAATAATAGCAAAAGCGCCACCTAGCGCACCAAAGCGAAGCTATACCTATATAGCGAAGTTTCGCTATATACCGAAATCTTTTCGTACTACGGTGGAGAAGTTCCGCTATATGGTAAAACTATATGAAATAATTTCGCTCTAAAAACGGAGAAACCGATATCGGCCTCCCCTATAAAAGCATTATGCGACATCATATATATTCGTGTAATACCATAGGTTTTGCTGAAAGATTCGGTCACAACAAACATGTATTTAATCAAGAGGAAATGAGAGCCGCAGCACCAGACACATCGGCAGCCTATAGGTACAGTGATGATGGAGGTGTGCTTTCACTTTAATTGATCAAACATCGAGATTCACTCTAAGAATTACAGATATGAAGAGAGTGAGGGAGAAAACCAACATTCCGGGTTCGAATTCTGCACGCCGAAAAATATACTTTTCCCTACTCAGGCGTCTGAATCAGACCAGCTTCACTTGTGACAGTTGGGCCACGTAACATGCTAAAACTTCTCTATACGGTGAAGAATTCGAAAATAAGTTTGCTTCTTTCGTGCATATCCTGGTTCTTATGGATCCTTTTGTGGTCATCGTCGAAGTTAGCTTGCGTATGACCTTTCTCGTACAAACGAGATTCGTTAACAAAATTCGTTATACGAGATTCGCTAACGGAAATTCGTTATAGAAGATTCTCGTCAGGCAGTCAAGAGATCGTCAATATAGCTCCGATGCCCTATTAGGTTTAGGTTAGATCTCTTGTTTACGACAGTGAGCTGGCGAGGTCGGGGGTGCGTGCAGTTCGTTAAAATATATCGATAGTGTCCGAGTAGCATACGGACAAGGTTGCTACTTGAACCTTTGGATCTAGCAATATATATATATATATTCTTTTTTTTTGCCGATGACGTTGCGGAATCGTCTCTTTCACAACACAACCGTATTCGTCAATGCCCGGATAATTTTTGCACCTGACCCGGTTTTTATTGACTCCAGTGACACGATAGGTGGACAAGCATGCTTTGGGAACCAAACTGTACAAACAAACACGCTGTTTACAAACAAGTGCGCCTTCGCTCTCACCAGTTGTGGGCACTACACGTGCGCAGAAGCCAGATTAGCGCCAAGTGATGCGTCTGAGCATGGGCCGCGCCGACAGCAGCTCCACTGCGGCGGCATGACGTGAGAGCTGTGTTTTGCTGTATATATCCCACATTCGGACACATACTATTTGAAAAAAAAAAAGACCTAATATTATTTTTAAATGTGTGAATTATAAAGAAGCATGCTCGAAGCATCAGAACATAGAAGACAGGTATGGACCTTTCAGAAAACAATGTCTATTTGACGTCACCTGGACTCTCCATATACTTATGAGAACTGCTGCTGAGAGTTTACAGCGCGCGGCGTGCTTCTTTCGCGCATCTTTCACGCTGTGGAACTCGTCGATTTCAGGCGGGAAGTAAGTTACAATGCCCACAAATATGGCGGAAGAACGACGTCACGTGACTCAAGTAGTGGCAGTGTGGCATGAAGTACTCGACGACAAGGTCGCCCGACATCCATCGGGAACGTCTACTCAAGTTATCGGTTACTGAGGTTCTCGCTCGCGCCTACTGCGAACGGAAAAAAGCCTGTTCCAGTCTCGTGCGTCTTGGGCGAACAATACTGCCGAATCGGCGAAGCAATGGAGCCAAATCTCAAAGTCAGATCGGGACATCTTTCGAAGAAAATGCTGAGGATAAACTAACCTAGAAGAGGCGAAATGTGCCCCGGCCTCACTTATCGGCAAAAGAAAAAAGACGTATGAATTTATACGCACAAAGCAGACTGTATAAGCCTGATGGGGCGCGCCCCAAATTCGGTTCTCTCAAAAGAGAGTCATTTTGTTTTAGATTGAAAGTTATCGATCCGTCCAAAAAGTGCAAAAGCACCAAAAAAAAAAAAAAGAAAAAAAAAAAAAGATGACGCCAGATGCGTACGGTTTAAATATTTCTCCTTTTATTTTAGGGTTATTTAAAGGTTTTGTATCCTTCATTTTTGTTAACAAAAAAAAAAAAAAAAATCAGGCTCTGCCCATGGGAAGTGGGGGCAATCTATGTTAGCACCAACTTAAAGTGGTGTTTGGTGTACCGAATACAACGTGTTAATTAATGTATCGTTTCCAATCTTTGCAACCGAGCATTAGCAAATTTTGTCTTCACACAGCATTTCCGTCTTTTTAACCAGATCTTTAACCACCCCCTGGCGAAACGGCGCGCCATATATGTACACCTTTTCGTACACCCTTTAGGAAAAGGGAACGTTCCTTACTCCGTGAGGAGGGAGACGTAATCAGTCATCACTGATTCGATCAGCCATTAATATCTGCAAAGGGTGTCAACCAAATTTTGACGCCTACAACGATGCCCGTGGTTATTCCCAAACGTAAACGACATCAACCTCCCTTCCCATTTCTGGAACCTTTTCCCGAGGAGTTTACGAGAGAGACTGCGTTCCTCAACAGAAACAAAAAGAAATGGCGGGGGCCAGTTCGTGCCTTTAGCGAGAGTCCACGAGGCTTCCTGCTGTCAACAAGAACAACAGGGGGTCCGTCGACGAACATGAGCGGTTGCTGAGCGTGGCCCAACGAAGAGCGCGACCTCACTCCACGAGCAGGTTGAAGAACACCTCAGCGGTGATGTTGACGGGAACGTTGGGCGCCCAGAGCCGACACCGCACGCCAACCACCACGCCGACGGTGGGCTTACGGAACTGGACCGCCACCAGCGGTGCCATGTAGTCCCGGTGGCCCGAGTAGGGAAAGAACTCGGTGCGGAACCCTTGCTCGGGCGTGTACGCTATTCCGCCGAGGTTCTCCCGATCCACGATGGTGTCGCCCTCGCAGTGGAGGAGCACCAGGCCCGGCTTGAGCAGAGGGCGCAGTTCTTCGGGGAGCAACTGGTTGATGTCTCGGTGGCCGAAGGTTCCGGGCTCCCAGCCGCTCAGGTTGGCGAACTGGAGGAAGATGCAGGGGCTTCCTTCCTTGTAGCCGAAGTCCAGAGTGGACGTGCACTCGGGCGCCACGGCGCGGACGTCGAAAAGGCAGACCCGTCCGCGGTCGGGGCGCCGGCCGAAGCACTCGGTGACGTTGGAGTTCCGCTGGGCCCGTACCGGATCGTAGCCGGAAACCAGGCGCTTCAGCTGGCCCGTGAGTGCCGGCCAGTCGCGGCCCTCGTATGGCAGGCTGCCGTGCCGGAACCTGGAAGGAAGCAGCGTGCCCGCGAGGCGACCGCCTGTCCTGCACATGGCTACCGTACGCCGCCGTGTAACTTCGTCACTTAGATCTTCAGCGTGTTCGGTACCCCAGTCCCAAAAATGAATGGTGGTTCTACGTTTAATTTCTCGCCTAAATTTTCAACCTGAAATATGACCGACTTGAAAAAGCTGCGCAAGGATGGGACACAGCTTGGAACTTTTAGAGCATGCACCACGGAAGAAGAGGGAGGTGCCTATAAAAAAAACAAAAAAAAAAAACATCGCCTTTAGCGCGAGCTTTCTGCCCTCGGTAAAACACGTGTGTACGCGCAGGCACGCATAACCAAGGCATTGCGGAAGCCAGAGAGCTCGCGCTGAAGGCAGAGGTTCCAGTCTCAGCCAGTAAAAGGCCCGTGAGAGCCAATCGAGGATACGCGTTTACAAAGCCGCGCGGCGCGCATTCGCGCCTAAACAAAGCCCCAAGCACCCCCCCCCCCCCTCTTCCAAACCATAAACCTTTGTGACCATCGCCCGAACCGGCCGCCCAATCTGGGAGAGCGAGAAAGAGCGAGGCAGGCAACACACTCAGTGCCGGAGCGGCAATTCTAAAAAACGCCTTCACTCTAAAAAAAAAAGAAAAAAAAAGTGTGTAGTTTTTACTTTTTTTTTTTTTTTTTTTTGTCACATATACGACACCCCAAAACTTCAGTTCAACGTACAGCGCACTGACGTCGAATTGACTGCACCAACTTTTGCGAGAGGGTTGATAACATATTAAGCAACTAAAGTATGTATCAAAATCTACAGGAAAAAAAAACAAAAAACACAGGTTTTTTAGATAAAATAAAAAAATAACTTTTTTTTTCAGTCAGTCACATTCACATTAGCTATTTTAATAAGTTGTACAACTCGGCTATCGAGTCGCTTGTGAAGTCTGGTAGCGCCGCGGTTCAACGTCAGTGGGATGTACGTCCAACTGAAGCTTCGGTGTGTCGTATATATCATGTGACAAGGGGTATAAGAAGATATCTTTTTTGTGTGTGTGTGTGTTGCATGTATCCTGTCTTGATGGAGCATATACGATGGAGCCCGTGATCCTGATCAAGGGCTCCATCAGACATGTTTAGTAAACAGGGAAATCACCCTTCTGTTGTGGCTCAGACTATTTGCTCCTGAGCACCTCGGACATCACTGGGAGAAAATAAATGTCGTCATAAGGTTACCCCAGAATACTGATATAGTATCACTTAAAGCTTTGCCTGACCATAGCCTCCTCTATAGTGACAAAGCCTGGCAGATCGCCACGAGACGCGGCCGGCGAAAGTGAAAAGGTAGAGCGGCAGACAAGAGGCTAAAGCCCCTCGATGTGTTTGCGCTCGTCTTGCAAGTAGCGTCAAATGCGCGAGTGCACGAGGCCCATGTCTCGAGCGGCCTTTGGAAGCAAATGGCGGCGCAGCACTGAAATGAGCGGGCCTTGGAAGCGAATGGCGGCGGAGCAAGCGCTCATGGCACGTGTCTCGATCGCTTCCACAACAATGGTTGGCGGTACTTGTAAAAAACGCTTTTATCAAGGGGCTTTACAAGAGGCATGTAACGGGCGCCCCGCTGCGGCGAGACGCCGAAACACACTTGTCCGGAGCGATGGAATGTTCGATCGGGCTTCTCGCGCTCCTCGGGCTACCGCTTCTTTTCTCGTCGGGTTTGAAAACCATGTTTCGGGTCCTCGCCGCTGCAAAAGCTGTGCGCTGACTACAAGCTCCCCGAGAAATGCTCTGTGCTACCAGGTCCTCGCGCTCCAAATCTGCGACTGTGCACTCTATGGCTCCGTCATCGAACTGCCAGGCTTTGTGAGCATAGAGGAGGCTATAGCCTAACGGATTACTACGTTTTCTTAGAACCACACTATAAGAGAATCAGGATCCACGCACCGAATCAGCCTGTGCCGTCCCCTGGGTCTGGGCCAGATGGTGATCAGTCCCGGCTCGCCGGTCCATATCAACTCCTCGGCCTCCTTGCCCGTCGAGAGGAAGGTGGCCACCAGAACCACAGCCAGCAGGAGGATGGCCACGAGCACGGCGATCCACCACATGACCCTGGGCTTGGCGAGCCAGAGGCTCACCGCGCCCTGCGGCCTCTCCTGGTCCCCGGCCGCGGCTGCGCCGTCCGCCTTGGCCACGGGGCCGCCGCCGTCCTCGGGTCCATCGGCGGCCGAAGAGACGGTTCTCAGCGGGGCCTTTTCGCCGGGCTCGTCCTCCTGGAGCTGTTCGGGGGGCCCCATGGCCGAGTCCGGCTCCACAGCGACGCTGGCCGACGTCGTCGCTGTGGCTTCGGCTCGAGGGCCCTCTTCCGCCGCGGACGGACTTGCCGGCTCGACGTCTGCGGGCTCCCCGGACAATGGCGCTTCCTCCGCAGCGCCTGGTCGACACAAACATGTGCTCCATTTCTGTGTGAAGTCGGCCTTTGGTTTTATGTATTTCGCTTGTCCGTGTCCCCATCTGCCCGTGTCTGTCTTTTCTTTCGTAAGAACACCTCGCACTTTCCACATTTTCCTCGATACCTCTGTTCTCATATTCTTTCCTCCTTTCAACTTCAACTTGCTCCAAAACGAAGCAAGTTGGCGTAATCAGCAGTGGCGTAACCACTGCTGAAAGGGCTGCTGAATTTCGGAAGGAAAGCTGATTAACCGTAATCCCCCCCCCCCCCCCCCCCCCCCCCCCTTCCCGGTCTTGTTGTTTGACAAAATCAGACCAATTTTACTATGATGATTTAAATCGAACCTTTCCTGCAAAAAATAACCCTGAAAATATTTTTATTTACCTTTTGTATAACATATTTGGTGTCCTCTATATTGTTTTGCATTTAAATCAAAGAATAGTCAAGCAAGGGAGATTTCTATCAGACTGAACACAGGCAAAAAGCAGTGCTCCTTTGAGCGAGTCAGAGCGTGGGACTTTTTTTTTTTTTTTTTTCCTAGCTTACACTTTGTTTGTCAATTACGGAACATCCTACTAAAAGCAAATCATGAACGCAAAATAAAAAAGCAAATAAATCTTTCTAAGTAGCTAAAAATAACAAGCTTTTTGTTTTAGTATGACTGGGTTTACATCAATAAAAAGCTGGTTACAGTAACTCTCTCTTCCGTATTGCTTTCAGGATTTTCAGTGATCGGACGGATTAATCAACCAATCTACGATGTTTAAAACTACATATAGTGATAAAACAACCACTATTTTCTAGCTAGTTATTTAAATGAAATTAATCTTGTTAACTGAAATACGATGTAATTTTTTAACCAAACAAAAGCGTGATTTTTGTTTTTGCCCTACAGGCAAGTGACACATGATAAAAGAACGTTGAACATGCACATGCTTGACGTCATTCAAAGAGCGCTCCGATGACCACCAGAGACGAGGGCAAGAAGGAGCTCCCCTGTTACCAGGACCCTCTTTCGCTATTCTCCTCCCAGATGATTATAGAAGATTTAGCCCGTCACTCAAAATTCTTACAAAAGCAGCTTCCCTCTCCTCCTCTTACATGGTGGTCAACAAAAAAAGCATGATGTTTGTTTTTCCCCTGCAGGTAAGTGACACATGATAAAAGAACGTTGAACATGCACATCGTTATGTCCGCCTGAAGCTAAGAATAGCCACAATAGCAATACCTATCACGTGGGCACATAGAGGAAGAACGGCTTGAGAAACACTCACCCTCTAAGGAATCACTAAAAAATAGACTTCCACATCTCGGCACTGCACCGGAGACGGCTCGTTCAGATGAACCTGGGGGGGAGACATCGGTGGCTAAACGGCACTACAGAAGCAGCATGCCAGCCAAGAGTACGGTGACGGGAGACAGCTGCCACGCAGCCCGGCAGCGGTCCGACGACACCCTAATCTGCGGGCCCCACGGAAACCTCGCCGCAGAGTGTCAGCATCCGGGCTGTCGGGTTTGCTCGCGCTCGCTCCGCATCCACTCACAAAAGGAGTCAATCAGGGACCTCCGTTGCCGCCGAACAACGACGTGGAGGGCCGGAACGGACGTCCCATATGTGGACGGATCGCGGAGTGGAGTGGTGCACGCCACGCGCGTCTCGTATGCGAGATTCGGTACGACTACGGAGTCGGGATACTGCAGTATGTCTGATATCGTGGATTATTTAATTTGCATTAATGGTAGCAGGGACTACACGAATGCAAGAACATAATCCACATCGAAATGAAGGTACTCTTTCGTCTGCGGTGTAAGGTCATGCACGTGCGGCCATGGGCGTACCAACAGGGGATGCAAGGGGGCGCTTGCCCCTCCCCCCAGTTCTCAGAGTGGGGGGCAAGGCATGAGTTTCATCCCCCCCCCCCTTTCCTTTCCTGAAACAACCGCAACTGGGCAGGGCAAACAATGGCCCAAACACGCCCAAGGGATACCAAGAGCACCCCCCCTTGGGCCTTGGGGGGGGGGGGGGGGAGGATCCGGTTTGCCCCTCCCTTTCCGACTAAAATAAATAAGTCGGCACGCCACTGCGCGCAGCTTACCTACCGGTTTATTATAGAAGACAACAAAAAAGGCATGTGGTGTGCCACACACACGTACAAGCCAAAATTAATCTGATGTAAGTTATGAAGTGGACTGTAAAAATTCCCGCGAACTGTTTGCCATTATTTTTTCGGTCATGACTTATATATCACTTATCAGCAAGAGCGGCACGAATTTGACAGAAGTGTGAAATAAACGTTCAAAAATAGCACGAAACTACAGCCCATTAAATGGCCCAGACCATTTTCTTTTATGAGAACGAAGCGTGCTAGGGTACTTGTACAGAAGTACGGCTCTGAACGGAAGGACATCTATGTGCGACCGATGACCCTCGAGTTCAGAATAATTTTGGCGCATGTTCCGAATCCTGTGCGCTTTCGGTACGGTTTGTCGCACACGCATCAGCGACACGCCTTCCAACACTTTTGGCCCCTGCGGTAAACAAACGCTTCCATATTCCCCGTCAGCCGAACCCCTAGTCCGTGAACCATCCATCTGCCAGAAATTACGGGAACAATTCAGGAAACGAGGACCTATCCCCAAAAGAGGATCAGCAGCTAGCCTCACCTGCGACACAGAGCTAGTACGTCACCAGACGCACGCCATCGCAACCCGGAAATAGCCGCGGCCTCTTTCCCTACTTCCCAACTCTACACAAGCTCCCTCCAAGCACATCTACAAATTAAAAAAAAAAAAAAAAAAGTCTTAGAGGAGGAGGAGGAGCAGCAGCGCAGGATGCGGAAGAGTCGTATCGATCCGCTGGTCGCTCCTCCCGACGCCATCGTCTCGCGGCAGACAACCAGCAACGCGCGAACGCATTTTCCTGCCACCTCCTCGAGAAAACCCGGATAATTCAATCTCAGACACGCAACCGGAAACATGGGGAGTCCGGTCTTGCTATTAGGGATCCCCGCTAGGCCTTACCTGGATCGCTACGTCCATGGTGGAAGGCATCGCGGATGCGGCGGAAAGCAGCGTCCAGGAGTCGCAGCCAAGTGCAACGGAGGCGTTATGCCGTCTGGCAACGCGCATGCGCGGAGAGCCCCTTTCCCTACGAGCGCTGGCCGGAGCAACGGCGCTGAGGCGAGGGCAATTTAATCTAAAGCGACAAGTGCCCGCTATTCGCGCACGACCCATTAGAACCTTTGGAAGCTGACCTCGTACTAGAGGGTCAGTGTTCATCAGAGTACGGATCGTCCACCCTGAACCGCTCACATACTGGGCGAATCCCCGGGAACTACCAAGCTCGTGGCTGGTAACACTGGTAATTGAGGCAGGGCCCCGCCCTACGGACGCGGGGTACTTGGTTTTGGGCTAACAAAACCGTACCAGGACAAAAACGAAACAAACACCATCCAGATTAGTAGAAAAAAAGAAAAGCCGTTTTATTATAATCTTTTTATTTTTATTTATTTAGGTCGGCGACGCTTTCCTCAAGCAGGAAAAGCCACCAGCCAAATCTCCATCCAGTTCGTATCAGCTCATTAAAAAAAAAAAAAAATCCGACGCAATCCAGTTTAAAAAAGCTCTCAGGCACGGCTTTAAAGATCCGCGACCTTATCCTTAAAAAAGTGGCAGACCCTCGCTGCCCGAGAGAGAAAGAGAAGAGGGTGTTAGGAAGAGAAACACCGGACCCGGAGGAGAAGGAATAAAAAAAAAAAATCAATCCAGGGATCGGAACTAGAGATTGAAAGAGAGCGAGACCAGAGCTGCGTTCAGAATTTTCTCAGCCCCGCCGCGAGAGAGCGCTGGCTGCGGGAGAGCGGGACGCGCCCGTTTCGTTTATTGGGCCTGGTCGCATCCGTCAGTTGTCCCCTTCGTCAGAGCAATCTTCCTCCTCCTCCTCTTCTTCCTCAGCCTCTTCCAGCCAGGTCAGCCACTGGTTTACCTGGGAGTAGGCGGGCCACACACTCAGGACAAGGAATCTACCATGATATTAAATAACGCTTTATTCAGCTTGATCCCACAAGCAAGTGCATAGGTCTATGGCGTACTATACACAAAAACCAAACACGGAGACCCAATGGTAAAACTAAAATAACCGTTGATATTGATACGCATTAGTATGCCATTTCTAGGATACCCTGTCCAAGGCAAGTAGCGCTGCACCTTTCAACACCCCTACCACAAAACAATTTTTTTTTTTTTTGTAAAGGGAGTTTTAGAAGTTTTTTCAGTAGCTTGCACAACACGCCCTGCTACTCCTATAATTTTTTAATTGGCAGATATTGGTTGTCTTCTAATATGTGTTGCTTCAAAAACTTAAAGCACTAAGCCAGAGAGGTGCCATGCATAGGATTTTGGCATGCAATTGGAAATTTCTGAGGGCAACAGACAGCTATGTCGGGAAAAAGAATGGAAACACAGTTACACAAGCGACTCAGTGAAGCATGTACAGCTTTTACGTGATTGGTCATCATGAATTAAATTACCTCTGTCAAACAAGTCTTCCACCGACCTTCCAAAGGTGGTAAAAAGCACAACAATTTGATGCGAGTAAGCGATGCAAAATTACATCAGTTTCCGTACAAGGCGGGGACAAGTCAAGTGACGCCATGCCAAAAAAGTAGCGAGTGGACGTGTCGCGTCCTATTGTCTGCAGGCGGCATTCCACAACAGCGACGTAAAAGGTGAGCACACATTGCCAATGCCTGGAAAGCTTGCTTTTCCTCCTTGACACAAATCAAAACACCCTTTGGGAAAGTTCTGGAGTTAACCCAAATGCACAAAAGGCAAATCAAATTTGGGGGTTTTACGTGCCAAACCTACGACGGGCATCTGGCACGCCCCAGCGGAGGACTGAGGATTAATTTCGACCGCCTGGGGATCTTTTGACGTGCAACCGAAAGCTCGGTTACACGGCGCCTTCTCCGCAATAAGCCTCCGTCATATTGCGGGCACCTCGGTCGGGATTCGAACCCGCCACCTGGGGATCCGTAGGCCGGCGCTCTCGCCTCGGAGCCGCTGAGGCGGCTAAATGCACAAAAGGGACATAGCTGAGCCACTGCTTAACCCTTTGCAGTCAGATACTCTGACCAACTTAATGGTCATTCCGGTCAGGAACTACATTAGACGCATGGGCCCCGAAAAAGTAAAATTATTTCGGCGAACAAAGGTAACGTCTCACACTGAACGTAAGGACAGGAAAGTCCAGGAGATTGTCTACAAACTCCGGAACGATGTTTGTGGCCGAGCGGCCCCTGTCTTGCGCAGTTGTTTCATATTCATCGCTACTTTCACTCAAGTCACAGAGGTCGCCTCTTCACTGAAAACACAGTCACTTTACATTACATCACACAGAGTTACATAAAACTAGCGTGGCTGGAACGTGGCTATAACCGTCGTGCCAGCGAAATTGAAATTTGCGCTCTCCTCCAGTCCGCAAAAAAAAAAAAACAAAAAAAAAAAAACATGCGACATAGAACATGTCTTTCTTATGACTAATCCTGCCCTCTATGAGAAGAAACTCAAACCCTTTCAAGAGTGATGTGATTGAAGTATTTTCCAAAAGATGGCGCCACCAATCCAGCAAAAAGAGCGAAGGACTCAAGGAAGCGTGTTGGGCGGCGCCCGACTCCTGACCGGAAGCGTGTTTCTCCGATGTCGAGCCTGACCCGACACATGTCCGCAAAGGGTTAAACGTCGTTATTTCACTTAAAAGATAACTAAAATGAAGTCATCTAGGAACATACTGCACCAACGAAGGCACCACAATTGTCCATGAAGAAAGGAAAGAGAAAGTTTGCCGGCACCCTTCAGTTTGACCAGGAATGATGAACAGAAAACTAAACTGCTCCTTTCAAGTAATCAACTTCTCATTAAGCACCGGGTCAACTGCCACTCTTTAGGGATACCCAAAGTCACTGGATCCTGGGAAAGTAGCGCAATTGCCTTCCCTACCTGCTAGCCGGACACAAACCGATACTAACATACAGACGACCAAAACCTCACAAGGCGATTGGCTAATCGGCCTACGTTGCCATGGAAATCGCCATCTTGGTCCATTTAAATCTTCGAAGCTTTCAGGGGGTCGTTCTAAACCAGTCGCGCCAAGATCACCATGGAGCATCATCGTACTGGAAGAGTTCCTCTTCAATATAAGAGTCGTTGGCACTTCGTATGCGATCAACTTATTAATCAGGCCCATCTCCATGGATCTCTTACAATTATATTGTTCTTCTTGCACATTTCAAGACACTAAACTTGTTTTTCAGTGCCTCCAAGCACCGGTACGAACGTGGTGGTACGAACATGTACGCCTGTTTCGCCGGTGTGTGGTTAGCAAAATCTCTGTATACAAAAAACGACTCAATAAAGCTACCCGTCACCAGCGAATCTAGATAGGCTCACCAAGAATGGAGGGGTCAAGGAGAAATTGCTCATTTCATGGACCAAGATGGTGACCACACGCGGAGCTTGGCGTTACTTTCCCAGGATCCGGTGACTTTAGGGGTACCAGAGCAGAGTCACCTCTCACTGTGTAGCTTACGACACCCCAGCGGGTGTCGTAAGTTACGGGGTGCCGTATTTCCCCCGCTTAGTGTCATTCTGGAGCCTGTTAACTAAAACAGTCTGCAACAGAGCAAAGCTACCACACGAGTTTCCCCACTCAGGTCTTCTTCCTATCGTAACTATTGCCGATCTACGGATCCCGGCAAGCATTTGGTAGTTGCATCATGCCACCACATCTTTACTTTATGGGAGGCAGGCAGCAGTGCATGCGCTGGGCAACAGCAAGGTTGTAGCCCATTGCAATGTTGCCTTTTGCATCACATTGTTTCTTGTATCTATAGTTAGTGACAGGTTAAAAGAGTCTAGGGAAACCTCCCACATCTTTCCACTTTGGAAGAGCGAATGCTAGAAAGGAAGAGACCTCTCCAGCATTTGCTCTGTTAAAGGGGAAAGAGGGGGAGGAGTTTCCCTGCACTCTTAACCTTTCACCGACCAGAGATCTTATCTAATGAATAAAGAAAATGTCTCGCTGCCAATGTGCTGATCAGGAAAGGCGAATAGTGCAGCTGATTCGTCTTCGTCAGCGGTGGAATGCTTTAGTTTTGATTCTTCACTACTGACAAGCTACACTTGACCATGAAAGCTCCAAGCATATATCTGCCGGGGTGGTGCAATAAGTTTTCAGTTTGGAAAATCTCTATTTGGTGCACCTTTTTATCAGGAAAATTGAATTTCGGAGCAGCAGATGCATAAGTTGGGAGAAATGCTGTGCAGTTGCCTATCAGTGACGCCAGAATGCATTAATGTAATCAACTGCATGATGCCCATTAAGAACCCAAAGTTAGCAGTTGTACTGTGTTAGCCAAATTGCCCTTCGACTGCTGTGAAGCTGTGCAATAAACTTGTGAAACTCATGTTTTTTTTTTGTTTTTTCCATAGACAAATGGGATTGATATAAGTGCGCAATCACCATAGTCGATGTAGAGTGCCAATTTAACCCTCTCTAGCTAACAGAGGTAAATTGGCACTATACAAGTCTTCTCAGGTGGCACGAATATCAGCATTGCCTGAACCTCATAACTTCCAAAGACAACATGCCTTTGTCTGGTATATCTTATTTACGACAACACTTACCGACGATCTCTCACTGTGGAAACATTCAATGTCTGATTTGCTTGCCTTTCCTCTGTTGCGATAGCGATCTAGTTGCCCAAAACTCCCAAGTTAGTAGACAAAAGTTTAATCAATAAAATTATTCTGGGTTCCCTAATGAGCAGACAATTTAACGAGTACAGTAAAACCCCGTTATAACAAAATGAGATATAACAAACTAATGGATATAACAAAGGAATTTTAATTCCCCTTGCTTGCTAATAGTGGGAAGAAATGGACATTGGCTATAACAAACTAATGGTTATAACGAAATAATTACGGCCGCTCTTTCAATTTCGTTATAACAAGGTTTTACTGTAGTACGATCAAGATCACATCATTTGACACCAGAAAAGGCAACACTTTGTAACCAAGCAGTCCCAACTGTGCATGCTGACTAAATGGGAACAATGTATGCGAGCACATTGCTATGAAACGGTGTCACGCAGAAAAAAAAAAAGAATTACTTGCGCTTGTTAATCTTCAGTTGTGTGCTTCAAAATCCAACTAAGACTTAAAATTGAGTTGTGCTAGGAATGTCGGTAAAATTGGTGTGAAACAATGCCGCGGAGCCGCAAACCTAGATTTTTATTGTGATCGCCAAACACCCGCTAGACTCCCACAGTTGCTAGAAGAAAACGAAAACTCTCCCACAAACCAATTTGTTTGCAGATTTGGTCGCCTTGACACAATTTTTCCCTTTGGGCGCAGCAAGGTGCAAACAAGCGGGAATTTATCAAAATGGCACAACTGGACTACCCCTGCATACGGAGAAAAAGCTTACACTGCACAAACCACAAATACTGGGTTCAATCCTTGTCGGTTTACATGTGGAGACATTGCACCACCAGGCCACTGTGTAATCGCTACTACATTAAACACAATAAGAATCGCAAGGTTAATTGATCGTGCTGCACTGGTCAAATAGGCTCACAGTGGAGACGTCAGACCCTAACAGACCAATTTTCTGATGTTAAAACCTACGTACAGCAAGATATGTATACACAGCTTTTGCCATAGACTAAAACAAAGACATAGACATAGTAAAAGCAAGTAGAAGTACGCCTTCTGGAACAGGCACTTGAGGTGCTGACCTAGAGAAGATATCAAGATACTGATATACCAAAGATTTGTCCCGAAACAGACTTGACGATATCGAGGTTCCACTGTAAAGGGCTTTGCCTGCTTACAAAACAAAATCTGCTTTCTGGCAACTCGAGGAATTGGCAGCACTACCGCCAGTTCCCCAAATGCGTATTATTGTGGGCAGCCGGCAGTACCGAAGCATGAAATAGTTTGCCAGATGAGGGGAGGGTATCCTGTCTGCAAGCGCCGTATGGCATTTCCCGCACCAAACAAGACACAAAGGTACCCGAAGCTGGTAGAAAGAAACTAGACTTGTAAAGAAACCTTCAAGAAGCCCGAGGTGGAGGCTGACACTCTGCCACGAGATCTAGCCTCCTCAAGGCCAAGTTTCTTAGTGGAATGCCGCATGCCGTTCTGAGCGGCACAGACAAGGAAGGCCCATGCACCCAAACCCCAAAGCAATCGCGTCGCAACAGTGCGAGAACACAGAACAGACACTAGACCTACGTTCAATCAACGCGACGACGTGGCACGAAGTTCAACGCTGGTGGCGTTGCCGTAATAAGACGACCAAAGAAAAGTGCCGCATGGATTTCATAGACTACGCAAGTGCTAGAAAGGACACGAGCGACAGGATGCACTCAAGCCAAAACGGGAAAAGCATCGCAGCAATGACGGCACTCCAATAATAGTGCGCACAGCACGATCAAAGGATGGCAGCACTTGGGCAAGTCCGAGCGTCTGTCACTTTAGCGACGACCTCCCAGAAATGTCCTCGCTAGGCGCGACCGCAATGCCCCAGGCATTTGCACTTCGCAAGCATGCGTGCTTGGCAGGGATGCGAAAAACCGAAGCTCGCCCCTGTAGCTCGTGCTACGCTTGCGCCTAAAGCGAGATACAGTCCAGGTGGCTTCACTTCAACACTTCCACGAGGTTCCTCTCCAAGATCATCATCGCACTAGAATCGCCAAGAGCTCGAGAAACGCGGGGCGCAGCGGGTCCCGGGCATCTCTATAGTCTCTCCGCAGATGACTAACTGGATTGCAATGTTTGCAGGTGAGAATGCCGTAGAACAAAACATGAAGCAATGCAAAATATGCCCTGCATTCCTTAAGCTGCCAGCAATGCAACTAGAATAGCTCGGTTGCGAAAAGCTTCCTCGAAACAAGGACCCCTCGTATCCACCGCAAGTGAGTAACGGCGAGCCAGATGCAATTGCAGCACCACGCCCTGCTGGTCAGTCAACCCAGTTCTTTAGTTAGTTTCTTAGTTGGCTAATCGGCTGTACATAATCTGTCTTGAGATGGGAGTGTCGGCTAAACTTTGCCTTGCCGACAGAGGCAAGACTTTTGCTTCTTTTTCTAGTTCTTTGGTGCACTCTCAAAATTGGGCAGTTGGAGAGGAAACTGCAGCATGGTACGATTGTACCATATCCTCCGTTCCTTAATGGGCCAGAGCCAGTTCTCCCAAGCAGGCTCCCGCGGCAGTGCCCCAATCGAGTTGTTCCAAAGTTGGCCGTCGGCAACACGACGAGATCGACTCCGTTGCACAACAGTCCGCAGGCGTTGCTTCTAGGCACTTAACCCCCTCCCTCACGAAAGTGCCTCCCACCGTTCAAATCGCCAGTTTGGGTGACTGCTGTCCCCGCTACCCCTAGTTTACCCCATGAAACATCTGGGTTTCAAAAGCACGGCGTCCAGATGGCACTTCACCGTAGCCGCTTCAAGGAATCCGGTTTTGAAGCATGACCGATTTGCACACTTGCATTTGTGTGGTCAAACGCGTAGCGTTCTCTTGCAGCTGCTTAGCACACCTACGCCCATACAGTGGACCCCTATTAAACGAAAAATATGCATACACAAAACTACGTAGACACCTCTGGTTGGTCTCTTGCGTGTTTAATGATAAAAATGTCCGGCTAATCGGAACACTTTTTTTCTTACTTCGGTTAAGTGAAACTAAACTGAACGAAAACTAACGCAAGAAATTGCCGTGGCAGTCTGACAACTATGAAAAAGAGGAATAGCCAAGCCACCATAGCCTAGCCAATCCAACGATAGCAGATGTTCCCACGTAACGACGTCGCCATATCCAATTGTGCTAATCGTAGATCCGCAATGGAAACCGCCAAAAAACGACAGCCTAACGCAGTTTCGCAACCAACTTTTGAACCTGATCGCAACCAACTTAACAGAGACTGAAATCACCAAGAAATTTGGGATCCCCAAGTCCATGCTGTCGAGGATATTGAAGAACAAAGGAAAGATTGAAGACGCCGTCGAGCTTGGGAGCTTCACGACTGACCGTATGCGGACGACGGTGTACAGTGAAATTGAGGATGAGCTTCTACTCTGGTTCAAGCATGCACGCAGCGCCAATTTGCCAATCAACAGACCCCTTTTGGAGGAGAATACCCGAGAGATTTTCTCTCAAATGGGGATCGAGAACTTCGGGGTAAGCGACGATTGGCCGAGTCGTTTCAAAAAGCGGCATAGTCTTGTCTTTAAGACTGTTTAAGGAGATAGTGCGGTTGTTGATAGAGATGTCTGTAGCCGCTGGCTGCTGAGGCCGACACCCTCGTCAGTAAGGTTATCCAATCCACTTCTTTCACGCGAGAGGACCATGAAACGCTGGATGCAAACATTCCAACATGCCGTGAGGAAAGATTTGATGAACTGATTAGCTTAGTTCGAGTTGAAGACCTTCAAGTGATGACGACATGGGGTGCAATCCTGAGCCCATTTCAGTGCCAGGCTGCGCGGCGAGAGATGCGGTCACATTGTTGCAGTGCTACTTTGAACATCACAGTTCCACAGAGTTTCTGCCCAGCCTCTTAGCAATGCACTCCTACTTTGTGAAGAAGTGCTTGTACAATGGTTAACAAACTGTCATTGAGTTTGTGAGAAAAGTGCTTAAACAATGCCATACAAACTCATTTGTTTTTTGTTTTGTTTTTAGCAACATTAGCTGTGTTTGATGCTTTAGGAGATGTGCACCGTTTTTCTCCAGCCTCCCAATGTCAACATTATATACTTTAAAACTTAACAAGAGGCCAATAACCTTGTTTTGTTTAGTCAACCATGTTATCTACAATTGAAGCTTTTGAAATAAAGTAATAATTCACAAATTTTGTGTACTTTGCTTAAATGAAACTTCGGATAAATGTAACAAATTTTCTTGTCCCTTCAAGTTCCGTTTAAGAGGAGTCCACTAACAATGTTCAGCGACCATAGAAAGATGAAAATATGCTCACCTGGAAGAGCGCCTTCCCCTTGGCAGGGTAGTCATCATTTACGTCCTCCTTCCACTTGAGGAAGGCCTCCTCCTCGACCACCTCCAGGTCGTAGAGCAGTACAAACCAGCGCAGCAGCATGCCCTTGGGGAAGCCCAGGGAGTGGCAGAAGGTCTGCAGGGCGTACAAGGCCGCCAGCTGCAGGGAGGGCCGCTCCCCGAGGAAGGCACGCAGCAGGGGCTGGAAGCGGCCCGCCAGCTCCCGCTCCTTGTCCAGCTGGGCCCGCTCGGGCACCTGGTTGGCGGCCGAGAGCTGCACCGCGGGCTGCATGACAGAAGAGGACGGGTTAGTTGCACCCACGAGAGAGGCACAAAGGACGGGCGAGCTGCACTGACGGCTCCACAATAGACTGGTTAGCTGGACAATAGAGGCACAAAGGACGGGAGAGCCGCACCGACGGCTCCACAATAGACTGGTTAGCTGGACAATAGAGGCAAAATAAGGACTGGTCAGCCGCACTAACGGCTGCACAGAAAACAAGATAGCTGCACCGATAGCTGCAGACAGAGAGGCAAAAAGGTAACGTTAGCTGCACCGATGGCTGCACAATAGAAGGAGGCACAAAGGACGAGTTAGCTGCACTGACGGCTGCACAATGAACGGTGGCGCAAGATGGATTAGCAGTGCTGACGGCTGCACAAGACACTGGAAAACAACACGACGGGTTTGGGACACTGGAGAGGCACAGGCAAAGGGTGCAGAAACAATGTGAAGCATGAAAAACAATTCTAAGCAAGCAGCTTTGTTTTTTTTTTTTAGCCATTCACTAAGGTTTGATTGGATTTGAAGTTTGCACCAAAAACAAAAACTGGAGAGGTACCAAAATCTGCTCATTTTGTTCCCTCAATAGAAGCTTCCAACCCCCGGACTAAACAAAGCGTTCATTATTTACGCGAAAGGCATATCTAACGCCAGCAAAGACACCCTCCAAGTGTTTCTTCAGCAACACAAAGTGCCCCGATGCATCGGTGCTTCTGGTGCAGACACTGCTGTCACCAGAAGCCCACACACCCCATTGTTACTATTGTTGGTTAAGTTGTTCTTGGTGCTACTGGGATGGGGACAAGCTTTGTGTGTAACATCACAACGTTCTGTGAAACCTTGATCGGTGTGCAGTGAGGGTAAAGCGTCGTGCTCCAGCCTACAACGCATTCCGCGTTCATAAACTATGGCCGCCTGTCCCTTTCTCACGCACCCCATTGTTGCTGTTGTCGGTGTTGTTGGTCGCGTCCGAATTGGTAACCAGTCCAGGCAGGGTGGTCTCCCCGGTGATGTGCCTGAGCAGGCAGGTGACCAGGGCGTGCACAAAGGACGGCTGGGCCTGTTGCTGGGGCTCCAGGGACTCCCTGAGCCAACGGTACAGGGCGTTGGGGCTGGGGTCTGCTTTGAGCTGCCGCCACATGTCCCCCTGCAGTCGGGGCAGCAGGAAGCCCAGGCCACGGTCCTCCAGCACCTCCGCCAGCCGCTCGGGGCCCCGGTTGCCCTCCGGCAGCACGGACTCCAGGTCAACCTGCACGGCCAAACGGCAAGGTGTCGAGCACGAAAAACAATTTTCACCCAGTACAGTGTCAGAAGCGCAAGTTTGTCCACTTCTCTTGCAGGGGTTGTGGCCACAAAACGCCGAGCTTTGATTGGCTCCGTTTGAAGGATACTGGGTAGACCTCAAGGCAGCTTGCTTTGAGGTCTACCCACTCCTTCAATTTGGACATCACTACAACCCCTGCAAAAGAAGCAGACAAACTTGCGCTCCGCATAACATGGGTTCTCAAAGTGGATTCCTAGGAAGCCAGGAGTTACTTAAAGCACCCTCATGGGTTGCCCATGCCTTTAAAGGCCCGACAAACACTTCGCGCTTTCCACTTTTACCCGTCACCTCCTTTCCTATATCCTCTCCACTTTTTACCTCGCTCCAACTTGGCTCCCCCTTGCAGATTGGGAGAAAGGAGCAACAAGAGGATTATCTTCCCTGCAGAAAACCGAGGCTGTACGTCGGCCTTAAAGTATGTATTTTTTTCAGTTTATGCACTACTTGAAACGATCCGAGCCAACTAATGATTCATAGCTACGAGCCAAATACACCCTAGTGTGTGCATTATTGTTTAAAAGACCCTTAGTATCCTGTACTGCTTTAATGCATTAATCCTAAAACTGGGAGGAGTTCTTCGGCCGCCATCCAATGTAGGAGGGGATTCTTCAAGATTGACAAGGTTGATGACCCAATAGCTAAGGAAGGGTGTGGGTGCAAGTTAATTGGCACTTTTAAACTGGGCCCAGAAGTCTGGCCACGTCTTGGGCGTGCAAGAACACAATGATAGAACACGCGATACTGAATGCAGGTTTCACGGAACAAGTACCCCAAGACTGCGGCTATGACGAACAGCTTCCCGTCGTCACTTCGACGAGCTTTCGAAGTCGACGTACGAGTTACTCCGAAAATATACCGCAAAATCTCGTTTGATTGAACTGCCCGAAGATATCGCCCATCCCATTCTTCTGGCTAAATGTCCCTAAGGCCAAAAATTCCAAAACACTGCCCCGATTGCAGTTGAACGCCATGCGATATCCGACAGGATTCACATCAATCGCGTGATCTGCGGTATATGTTACAAGCTAGTTTGTAGCAGGTTCATATGTGTTTATCGTATCGTGAAACCACAATGTGCCGCGATCTGAGCGTGCAATATTATTTCCCGTGGCGTGGGAGAGTTCACAGCAGGTTCCCACACGCTCATCACAACGTAAAACTTGAAATGGCCCTGTCCGCCATATCAGTTCCCGTTAAATGGCAGTTTGCGGCGAATTCTTGCCCGTTTATCACACCGCAGAACACAAATCTGCTCAGTCTGCAATCTACTGCATTAGTTCCCGTGACACGGGAGTTCGTAGCAAGTTCCCACATGTTATCACACTGAGAACCGCGAATTTGTCGTGTCCGCGACGTGCGGTACAGTTCCCGTGTCGTGTGGTCGATGGCTGGCATGTGCTGCGGTGCTTATCTGTCATTCGATAAACCTTCGCTGCCTTATTCCTAAAGATCACCTAGCCAATATTTTTCACTCCCTTCAAAATGGGTGGGCATTCATACCGCACTTTATGCTAATTAATTTAAGATAATTATGCTTCAGAAGAAGTTACATCATGGCTAGAATTACTGCTGCACAAAGTTTTTACGAGTTAGCAGAAGTGCAATCAGGCCCGTGCTCAATCAATCTTAATTGAAATTTGAAAGGGGAAGATACTGAGAACAATAAGTAATAAAATTTCTACTCTAATCACTTTCAGTCAGAGGTCACAATGTAGCAAATCACTCAAAAAGCAAATTAGGTTACAGCAACCGTATTACTAGCGAAGTGCATGTGTCTGGCGTCCACCCACCTTGGCGGCTGCGAGTCCCTGGGTGAGCCAGACGCGGCCCTGGGTGCGGGACAGCTGCTGCAGCACCAGCAAGAAGAGCGGGTAGTGCTGGCCGTTGGGCAGGGCCCCGGCCAGCTCCGAGAGCGACACCAGGCCCCGGGCAACGCCACGCGCCACGTGGCCCGCCACCATGCTCTTCACCAGCGGCATCTCCACCTCCAGCGCCGCCATGCGCCCAAACACCTCCTGCAGAGATCCGACAATGGGGGCTTCAGCAATCTCCGAGCAAATTGCGTTCTTTCTCGGCGGACAGTACCGTAAAATTCCGAATGAACGTCCATCCCGTTTTTCTGGCTAAACGTTGATAACGTAAAACTTCAGAAACGTAGCAAGCCCACTGATTCCCTTCCAACATGACGCAATGTCCCACGGGAATCGCATCGATTGCAAGATTTGCCGACAAGTGCAAGTAATGTAAGTTTGTAGCGGGTTCTCTCTCTTTTGTACGCGATCTGCGCACGCGGTATCGGCTCTCGAGACGCGGCAGTTCGTAGCGGGCTCCAGATTTTATGTCCCCGACCTGTACTCACGATAACTGTTCCTGTGGCACGCAAGTTTGTAGCAGGTTTCCACGCGTTTATCGCAGCGTGAAACGCAAATTTTCAGTGACCGTGATCTGCTGTACGTGTTTCCGTGGTTTGTGGCGGGTGCCCCGGTGTTTATCACCACTTCTTGAAGATGTTTTGCTGTCTCACCCCCAAAGATAGCCTGACGTTTTCCCCCCTTCACCTCTTCATTTTGGGTGGGCATTCCTGCAGGATTTCGCGGTATGGTCCCCACAAGATACGAACAGCAGGAGGGAGCTCTGGCTGTTTCCCTCCCCCCCCAGTGCGAGTGTCCTATCTTGGACAGTGGTTCTTTGTCTCGTGCACCTATAGACCAACACGTAGCCCTTACGTCACGCACCTGCGGTAGCGCTGTCGACGACACTGCGCATGCGCTTTACTCATTCCAAATTTGGTTGTGGGCAAACGCGGGCTTGTCTGTAAACAGTGTGTCGGTCTATAGTCACGTGTGCAGCAAAAGTATGGCAGAGAGCACGGAGTGAATTCTAGGGGCCAAGTGTTCTGAAGACTCTCCCCGCTGTTCTGTCAACGATTGCACATTCACCCTTATGATGAACTGCAACAGACCTTACGGGCCATCCCGGGCAATAGACCCTTTTCGAACTTGCATACAGCAGCACAGTTGTTGCTTGCTTCTGGATGAAAAATGGCCATATACGAGCACCGAAAGCCTAAACTGTCCGGATCACACATGTCAATACAAAAAAAAAACATAGCATTCCAGCATGATCGAAAGTGGATCTTCCGACTGCAAAAAGAAGCCATGGGGAGTGAGGCTGTGCTCCAGAGTGGCTCTTACAAAAAGTGCCGCCACCCCTCCCCCGGAGCCGGGCGCACCGTGCGCTGTTCACCGTTGTACATTCCGGCTAAATTGCGAATTAATGAGCGCATAGAGTATTGCAATGCTACAGCTACAGCCGGCTGAACTGTTAACAAGCCGAGGTGTTCTTGAAATATGTTTCGTCTGCAGTGGAATGCTTTGGTTTGATTCCCCCACTTCAGATTTTCAGAAATTAAAGTTTGGTCGCAGTGACCCCTTGTGACGATACGTAGTGTGCCAAAGACAATATTTCAATGCGGCTCGCAGACTGAGCTTGAGCATTCTGCGAGCACTTGATTTTGGCTGGCGATAATCAACGGCTCAACATGCATTCAGGTAGCGGTTCGTGCCCAATCGCTTCAATGACAACAAAAGCGAAACCCTAATAATGTCTGCAACTCTGCGAATGTCCTGTGCCTTGCCAACCCCCGCCCCTGGATGTGATAAACACTGGTGGCATACAATTGGTTCATGGCTTCTGGCCACAAATTAAGAAGAAGAAAAAAAAAAAAAAAAAACACCGCTTTTTTTTTTTTTAATTTTTTGCAATTACTGTTGCGTAGGGAGAAAAACTAATGTGTGTTTCATAGGTAATAACTGTCCGCGCTCATTGCTTGACACTGGCCGTGCGTGTGCTGTTGCGATATCAAAAATAGAAAGCTCACGCCGGAACTGCAGCATTCTTAACCCGTCGCAGCCTACAGGCCTCATGCAACGCCAGACCCAGGACAGCCCAGCCGTCGGGAGCCACTTGCCTGGAGCGCCTCCAGGTAGGCGGGGCCCCCGTCCTTCTTGTAGGCCAGGGCCAGCTGCGGCAGCAGCTCTGCCTCCGGCTTGTCCAGGGTGGCCAGCATGACGTGAGCCAGTGCGTCCGCCAGGAACTTGCGGGGTATCTTGAGGGCCTCGAAGGCCTTGCCGGCCTCCTCGGGGTTGTTGGCCGAGGAGGGCGGCTGCTGGCCGTCCCCGCCGGCCCGCAGCGTGTTCAGCAGCTCGTCCACCTGGGAGAGCACCTCCTCGCGGGTCACCACCTTCTCCCGCTCCTGGGCTATGCGGTTGGCCCGGTTCTTGTCTTGCACCACTTGCTTGATCACTATCGGTGCCTGCAGTGCGACGAGAGATTGCCGCAAGACGGAGGTGAGAAAGACCCTTCTCCTGTGTGAAAATCACTCAAACTCAATCACTATACGAAACTCAATGACATCTGAACACTACCAAACTTGGTCACGTCCGAATCCAGCAACATTTTCAATCGAATGTTTGAATGATGGCTCTAAGATTGCGAAACTGAGAAGTTTCAGAGATCCTTCCAAAGTATAAACGTGATGTATTTAACTCTAGCCTGTGCAAATGAACATCCAACGCTCCACTTGCTAAACGAGACAATAGAATGCAAGGATTGCGAACAAATGAAACTTAAGAGGGGGAGGGAGGGGTTTCTTGTGCAACATGACGAGGTAAAGACCGCAAGTGCCAATGGTTTACCCTCCTCCTTCCAAAAGAAGAGCCCCGGAAGGAACCTAAGACGGAAGCTCACTTCTTTCAGGGCCTGCTTGGCCAGTGGGTGGGGACCCAAAGCCGGCCCTCCCACGTTGCCCACTCCCGAGGTTGGAGCCCCCTTGGAGAAGCTCAGTGGGGTCTTGGGCTTGAGCACCATCGAGTTTTGGGCCGGGCGCAGGGAGATCTCGTCCGCGCTGCCCGACGTCTGTTTCTTGAGGAAGCGGGGGGGGCAGGTGCTCCCCGCCACGGGGGCCTCCCTGCCCCTGCTGGCTGTTGCGGCCAAACTGCTGTTGCGTCTGCTGTTGTTGCTGTTGCTGGCCGATGCGGCCGTTGTAGAAGTTACTACCGCCGCCGCCTCCGAGGAAGCCTGCAGAGCCAGGACAAAGCGTTCGTTGGGGGCCTTGCGGCAAGGGAGCAGCACGCGAAATGCGGCATCAAGCTAGCTTGAGATCAGCTATGCGTGACTTCATAAGGCTTGCGCTTCTTTGCATCTTTGATGAAGCAGCCTGCTCGACTGTTTCCTCTTTTGTTAAAGAGACAACTGAGAAGAAAACATGCAAAGCCAATTGCTTCTTAGGATCATTTCCTCTTCATACAAAACAATGCTTCCGTCTAGCCTCATCTACTATACCCTGTCGTAGGGTAAGAAAGGCCAGACAAGCTTTTACTGTTAAGCTCTTCACCCTTTCCACTTGGCAGAGCGAACGCCGGAGACGAGACAAGAAGGGACTGTTGGGCATTCACTCTGGTAAGTGGAAAGTCCAGTGTACATGATTGGGACAAACAGCTCAGTAAATTCAGACGAAGACAACCCCGACAGCACACTGCTGCGACAGGACAGCAGTGTCCTGTCCTATCTTTTTCGTCTGCATTTACTGAGCTGCTTATCCCCATCATATGCAATGCTGACGCACTGGCCCAATGTGCCTTATTCCTTAGTTCATTGCCTATGCATGGGACAGTCAACTAGATCTAGATGCCTTTTGTCTGAAAGCACACACTGAAACTTAGGCTACCTACAGATTAAGGTACTGTGGCAGCAGTGACAGGTGTCTTTACAAACAAACAGCATGGCTGGAGTTGCCCAGGAAACTTCCAAGTGCAAATAGAAACACAAGGAAGGGGACACTGACAATGGCTGGTCCACATCCTCTCCTTCATGTCCGTCTGCTCACAACTTTCCTGAGCATCACCAACTAACTACAGTCTGTTGCAGGCTAGGAGAGCAGTACAAGTCCCTCCCACAAAGCTCTCTGCTCGACATGACTGGGGCTTTCCTCCTCTCCAGCGTCCTCTCTGCTCAAGTGGAGAGTGGGGTGCTCTGTGGGAGCAGCTTCGCCTCGGTTCTCCCAGCAACCGACCGTGGCCCTACAGCAAGTCCAACTGGGGTCGTAGCACTCACCGGAGGAGTTGAGGGGGGCGCGCGAGTTCCCACCGCGGCCCGAGTAGGGGAAGAAGCGGTCTCCGCCCGAAGGGATCACCCCAGGCCCCGTGCCCAGGCTGGCCAGGGGCAAGGGAGCAAACACGTCGTCCATGCCGCCCATCGAGCCCTTGTGCGCCGTCACCCGGGAGGACACGTACATGCCCAGGTCCCGCGACGCCTCCTCCCGGATCTGCTGCAGGGTGCGCGGCCCGTGCTCCCCGTTGCCCCGCCGGGGCACCCAGCGGTTTGCCCGCAGCTCCAGGATGTCCCGCAGGAGGAAGCGGATGCGCGACGGCAGCTCCGGGGCCTGCGACAGGGTCCGCATGCGCTCGAAGTACTGGTCCATGAGGGGCCGGGCCCGTGCAGTGTCCAGCCGGCGGCCCACAGTGACCAGGATCTGGCAGAGGCACTCCAGGTCCTGCTGCTGCCAGCGGCCTGACCCGAGGAGCAGCTGCTGCACGCACTGGTGCAGAATGGACTCCTGGAGCAAGCCCTGCTTGCCCAGCTCCCCGATGAACTTGATGTTGCCCAGCATCTTGTGCTTGGCCACCAGGCGCTGCTCCTGCTCCTCCGGGGACAGCCGCCCCTGGCGCTTCTCGTAGGCCTCGCTGGCACGCCGCCGGTTCTCAAACTCATCCTGGCACTTGGTCAGCAGCAGGCGCCGGAAGGTGGTCTGGGGCGCACCCCCGTTGGTCCCGCTGCTGCTCGACGGTGGAGGCTCGAAGTTGGGTGACTCTTCGCACAGTTCCCGGCAGAGGGAAGCGTACATGCAACTGTACTTGGGTTCATCCAAGGCCTTGTCGAAGATCTGGGGGAGGGAGGAAGCACCACTGCTGAGCTGATCCAAGCTGAGCCAAAAAGTAGTTGGCAGGATACATTGATGAGTATCGTAAAATGCAACAAGTTTGCAGTACCCAAAGGCACTCTTTCTCAGAGTTTCAGACTCGTTGGCCATTAATGTCACTGTGAATTATTTGAGTGTTTTCGAAGGAGCAAATGTTGAGATGAAAAAGATGTGAAACGGAACGACAGGTAATGCAGACGAGGTACAGGCACGCTAGCTGGATGATTTGACATTTGTGGGCAAACACTATGTCCAATACATGGTAAATATTAAGGAGGAAAAAATGCATCCATCAGAGCAATGGCACAGGGAAAAGGTAGAGTTAAAAGAAGGGTGGCCACCAGCACTACGACTCCATCAGAGCTATAGAAACAAGAAGGGAGTAAGAACGGTGCAAGCCAGCAGTATAACACCATATGATGAGAGCAATGGCAAAGGGAGTGCCACTTACCAGCAGTATGACTCCCTTGAGGATCTGGGTGGAGTCGAGGCCGACGACGAGCAACTCCTTCCTCAGCTTGTGGAACTTTTCGGGCGTGAGCTTGTTGAGGATGGCACGCACCTTGCGAAAGATGGCGTCATTCTTGTCAGCGGGGCTGAGGGGGGCATCTCGCCTGACACTGCTTGGGGGAACCCATCGGTGCACGCACGGGGAGACGTTGGCCGCTGAGCCGTCCCTGCTGCCGCACTGAGATGAAGCGCCCCCCGCTCCTCTCGGTCCTTCCGTTGTTGCGCCTGGGGGGTCCGCCCGCGCCACTCTAAAGCTCCCTGCTGCTGCTCCTCGCCTGATCGTTGTTGCTGCCACTCCTCCTCGCAGGGGCCTCGTCCTGGGAAAAGGAGGGACGGCGTTTGTGCGTGGTAAAGGGGCCGTGCCCCTTAGATTGGGCGGTAGCTAGTACCACCTACGCACGGGAACATCCACCCATGGCATTTCACAAGAAACAAAAAGAAAACTTTGGGGGGGTTTACATGCCAAACCAAAGGAAGTCACCTGCTACGCCCCAGCAAATGACTGTGAATCAATTTGGACCATTGTGGCATCTTTTGCCATGCAACCGAAATCTTGGCTACGCCTTCTCTTCTCCGTAACACTGTGGGAACCTCGGCTGGGATCCGTTTGCCGACTCTGCCTCGGAGCCACCCATTCTCAAAGAAAGGTGCGCATGCACACAGCTTTGATTGGCGCTCATGGAACTGCACTACCACAGAAGGTTGTCCCCGAATACAGCATTTAGCACCTCCAGCAATTCTGGATGAAGTTGCTAAATGTTGCGGGGACGGTTGGTCGCCCTTCCCCGATGGCCGGTGTAACGGCTGTGGTTCGGAACGCTCGGCCTGGTTGCCGTGAGCTCCAACCTGTTCGTGAAGTGTAGGAGGGCCACCTGGCTTGGGGGGCTCTCCTCCTCACTCTCTCAAGGGGGAACTCCCCCCCCGCTCATCCGGGAACCTAGTAGTTTTGGGTGAGGACGACGCCCGCGGGGGGAGGAGGTTGACGCGCGTCCCCGATTTCAGGAACGCACGGACTCTTCCCGCAGATGCGATAGAGATTGGACGTGTGACGAAGGTCTTCCTTTGCCCACTCTGGATTGCGCTCTCAGGACGGTGTCTACAGGGCGAGGCTTTGATCTGACCTTGTCTGCGAGGAGGTCTTGGGACAGTCTCTCTTTTGGTGTTCCAATAAACACCCTTGGACCCACTCCTATTGTGGTACGTGCTCCTCCTTTTTAGAGAAGCGATCAGTTGTGCGGCCGACGTTCGGACCCGCCCGTAGCGGTGTTCTCGAGAGAAATCTGCGGGGTGTGGGAGTAGGCTTGGTGTCCCCCGATTAGAGACCACCGCTGAACCCTTCGGTTACTACCACCCGTGACCATCCCACAATGTTCACGATATATATCGAGGTTTGCCTCTCACAAGCCAGTCCAATCTCCGCACACGGTCACCCAGTGACGAAAATAGCAATGACTCGTTTAGGTTTAGTACTACTTCTCACTTTCAAAGGCATCCTACAATGAAATCCACATAAAAGATTCCAACAGAGCCTGCTTAACCCAAGACTTTAGGTGCAATGCAGAAAACCACATATCGTCGTGCAATATTTGTACTAGCCAAAACCACCGCTTCGCTGCCCTCAATCAGTGGGATTCTTGCTACCCTTAACTCTTGTATACTTCCCCTTGCCGCAGGGTTTTTGAGCTGGAGGCTGGTGGAACAGTTTGCCTGTTTAATCATGCTGGGACCAGTTCAATTGTGTATTGGGAAAACATCCGTTTAAGCTTGTGTGGTGTCACCTCAGGTAATACATATTCATAATGGTTGCAAACAGTTACAGGCATTTGAGTTAGCCTGATCATTGTGTCGCAGAGTTTTCTTACGTGTCCGCAACATACGCAAAGGTTTCTGAAGTCATGTTCGGTCCCTTCGATCAATACTCCGATTTGAGTACATGGTGTCTGTCACTAATCTTAGATACGAGCACAGCATTAGTCTTGGTTCCCACTCTGATTAATGGTTCGCATATCTTGCACAGATGGACCGTTTTAATACCACAGCCCTTGTACTAATTGAAACAAAGTAATAAAGTGAAAACATTGATAAGTAGAAATAAAACCTGTCTGCCCTTGCCATACAAACAGCCCTCGTGGGATAAAATATATTATTTTCATCATCACTACGTGTGTGGAAACAGGCTGCTGCTTGGACAAAGAGGGAGCTCATATTCGAAAAGGCTCCGTTCTACAGCAAACAACAAGTAAAAATATCAACGTGGAATTACATCCAGGTGTTTTGTACGCCTCAGGAGTGCCTGGAAGATGGATACTTTTATCAGAAAGTGAGCACACAGATGTTTGAAATGCCAGCTCCTGCAGCCCATTTCGCCAAAGCACATCACACTCTCAACTGGTGCAAGTCTCCTAATTGGAGATTACCTCAACCACCCCTCACATAATGTCTTGAAAGAGCTTTCCTTCATAACTCCACAGCTGCCTGGGCAAGATTGTTAAGCCCGACTTGCAACACACCTCATTTGAGGAGTCTGAAGCGACCGACACCCCAACTACAATAGATTCGGCAATTGGACTAACACGGGGAGTCTACAATAGCACCAGGACCTGCCACAACTCGACGTGAATAGCCTCTTCAACTGTTAAACAGCTTGTTGCAAGTGTAGCATGCAGACATGTAAGAACATACCGATTGGAATACATGAAAACAGCCCTCTGCCATTAGCACATCTTAAAGGTGGCCAATTGTCTCACATTGAAGCAGTTCTGAATGGCATCTCGCTACTTTGCAACGCTTGATCTGCAGCCCTTTAAGATGGTCCACACATTAGCACGCAAATAAGGCTGAGTGCTTTATGCCCACTGGTGACTGCTTATAGAGAACACTGGCGCAATCTGTCAGGCTAGGCGGTGCAAGCTACCGCCAGTTTAAAAGGGCCATCCATCCGTAGCCATTAAACACCTCTAATTTGCGTACAACAAGACTGAGGGTCTTGAAGCAACACACCGGTGTGTATGGTGGTGTGCACCGTACAAAAAAGGAACTTTCCACCCAAAAATGCAAAAAAAAAAAAAAAAAAAACTTCGTTGCACTTTTTTTTTTAAACTAGCCCGAAGCCCCAGCAACAGGAGCCCGCGGAGGCCGGTTTTTATGACACCATTCCAACGAGAGCTCATTCAGCCGAAACGGCGCGACACCCTCACCCCGCAAATCGGTGAAGTGAAGCGCACGGTCCCGACACCGCGAGTACGGTTAACCCAGCGAGCAGGCGCTCGCCTATGCCGCCGAGGCCACAGTTATCGCCCCAAAGTGCAAGGACGGCTTCAAGGCCGCTACCGTGCCGCTATCCGGCTGGGTTTGGAGGGGAGGGGGGTCGGTTCCTGCCACGGTCGTCCCGTTTGGGAAGGAGGCCCAAAGTCTCCGCCAAGTTCGCTCCGATGGAATAGCGGAAGCGGCGACGACGACGCACCACCGTCAGCTGCCTTCTGTCGCTCACCAACTTTGTTTTTGTTTTTTCTTGGGGCCCGGGGGGGGGGGGGGGGGGGGGGGGCATACCAATTTGAAGTTTTTTGGGGGGATTCTCGTTTTACGCAATTTATTCTGAACAAGAAACTAACGGGAAGATGGAAGGCATTTTTGAAGCTCGTCAGTCGTGACTACCCTCCCCCTGTCGTGAAGGAATGAATGGAATTCGCTACAAAGCAAATGAGGCCGGAGAGTTTTTAAAGGAGGAACTATGCAACTAACATACAAAGAAAACCGGATCTGACCCCCGCGAGCCGAGGCAAGGTACGAGAACGAGTTCTTTCATTACCACGAAACACCACCGCCAAACCAGGAAGACCCAAGCGCCTTTCGCCCAAAAAGTCGGGATTCATAAAGACCCAGAGGTCAGCGTCGTTGAGGGATTCGACCATCAGACGTGGCCCAGCGACCGGTCACTTCCAACTTGAGGAAACTTCTAGACCGCTGCCTCCGTCGGCTGTGAGACCTAAGGCGGCCCTAGTTTCGACTGGATCTGGACGGTGACCGCTTACGGGGGGGCCAGGAACTGAGATTTCGGGCCCGACAAAATGCCGAACTGAGAGCTATCGGTTTAACAAAGAAAACGCACGCACGCACGCTGTGACTGAGGCGTCCGGGCGAGTTGAGGGATGTAAACGGTAGTTGCTATGCTTCAAACTGGTTCCAATCCTTCGCTATACAGAAGCGTGAGCTGCTTCATTAACAGGCAAAGGTCCGGAAAGAAAACTCGTCGCGACAAAGGCACGGGTTGCTCAATCGGCCGCGGCCGTCCAACGCCTACGTCGAAAGCCGGAGTCGAGAGAGCGCCCTTACGGGGTTCTGTTGCTCCAACTAGGAGCCCGGACACGTACCGAGGATGAGAAACCAGCGAAAAATAAATAATCACAGTTCTTGCTTCCCCGAAGACTACCCGACAAAAATTTCGCCGACCGTCCAACCGGGTAGCCAATATGGCTGTGGTTAGGACTAACCTCAGCGATCAGCGAGGCTTGCGGGGGAAGATTTTTCGAAGTGCAAAATCCAGCCCAAAGTTGGGGGGGGGCAACCGGTCGACGCACGCGACGAACTCGGTCCGCGGTGGTGTTCAGCGCGTAAAAAAGTGATACTGCACGAGCCGCACTTCCCGAAAAAACTGCCCAAAGCAAAATAAATAACAAAAAATAAGATTAAAAGACAGTGCCGGGAGCAAGAGACTCACCCTGCTCGACGCTTTGTTCCAGACTGCGTTATGCACAGGGAGCTTTCCCAGAATTCCCCGGGCCCCCTCTCGCGAGCCTTCGCGAGATTCCGCGGCTTCAATGAGGTCATAAACCTGATGGACAACGCCGCTGATCGGTCACGTGACGTCGGCGCGAGTGAGTGTGCCTTGTGGCCTTGCTATGCTGCTCATGAGGTGTTGCGGAGCACCCGTTTTTGTCGGTGGGGCCTTTCGTACAAGTCGGACATGTGAACTTTTTGTTTCATTTATATTTTGAGACGATTGCGGTCTAAGCATTCACGGCTGCAACTTGGTACGTTACCGCGGTTGCAGCAAAAGCAACGCTTTGAGCCGAACATCCTTCCAGCCTCGTTTCGGTTGTAATTCGACGGATATAATAATCTCGGGAAAGTTTGTATCGTTCTGGTTGTGTTCCTTTATTGATTGTCTTTAGAAATGTGACACCACTTCTCCCCGAAAAACGTCTCGACTCGTTATTAGAACAGCGCGTTACCAAGTCCAATCGTAATGCGCATACGATTTGGTACCGATTTGTTTCTCGAAAGCGACAGTTGATATTCTGGCGATTGAGGTCACACTTTTCAGACTCGTTTTGACGGAAGATTTTTACCTACACTGTGGCGTTCATTACGTTGCCGTCTAGCGAAAGTAGTCATCTTCTGCGCATGTGCTCAGTTTTGACAGATATAGGTACGTATACATTACGCAACGCATTGAGGGAGTCAACGAGTGTGGCGTTTGATAACTGTATATCGACCTTTTTGTTGGCCGTTGAACTGTCATCACATCATAATGAACCAAAGTAATACCAACTCATCATTCTAATAACAAGCAAAACAATTTAGAACTTTAGAGGTCAGAGGTTTATCATCCAAACTATCGGTTCAACGTATAAACAAAGACATGCAAGAGTTTGACACTCGCCATATATTCCAGAAAGAAAGAAAATTGCGTCGAAACTCACCAATTACGGCGATAAGGCAATAAATCTATCTCACGAGTAGTTCCTGCGTGAACGAAGCGCTAATCTTGGAGGAAATGTGCAAACGCGTCACTTTTCTTTCGCACGATGGAGACGTCATATGATATCGGTGACGCACAAGAAAGCTTGCGTCAGTAATGTTGCACGCGCGCAGCGTACATCGGTACTTTTTTTAAATCACTCGCAGCTGTCGCGCCTCTGAAATTTTTTTTCGACAGTCGTCTGTTCAGTTTTAGAGGCATTCATAGAATAATTATGACTAACGCGAACACGCGCCAGGCGCAAAACCGTAGCGCAAAACTAACCGAAAGTGAAACCGAATGTCGGGTTGGGCGAAAGTGGGAGAAAGGTAAATTACAAAATATTAGTTATAAACGTGCGCCTCGAGTTTATATTAATATATGATAAGAAATAACAGTACTGTTGAATAATTTTTATTTGAAAATGTTAGAAAATGCTAGCTAGAAAAGCCTCAAACAACGCAACACTGTTGCAGATTAAGTGTCCCTCTAGGTGACCCAGGCTACCGCCCAAAAAAAATATTTACCTACTTCTTTATTTATCTAAATGCTTTTTATGTATATATCGACTAGACTTCCCCGCGTTCCTTTCCACTGTGTTCCTTTCAGTTCACAGCCTTTGCGGCCTTTGCGCCTTTGCCCGAAAACGAAAAAGACGCGCACGCATCTTGGAAGACAAGAGATGAATCTCGCGGCAAAAAGACTCTTGGGGTGGTCAGGAAAGCTGCTCCAGGTATTTGAATATTGCTTAAAACCGAGAGAATACTGGGCGATCTTCAGAGTTTAAATGTCGAGTGCTGCCTTCCTTTCAGTACAACAGAGGAATCGCAACCACACAGAGTCCACGCTGCGAGGAGAGGCCACCTTCCCTGGAAAAAAGTGTGTATAAACAAGAAACGGTGTTTTTGTTGGCGGTACGCCCTCGCGAACACCTTTAACAATAGTCTTTCAGTGGTGCACACACTGTCACAACTCTGGAAGCACGTGCGGCCACGGAGCTCTACAAATTTAGCTTTTGACCAAATATTCTCGCTCGGGGTCAGTAGGTCATCTCTCCAAGTGATAACCCAGGTGCTAAACGCAGGTGAGCGTACTCCTTATGGAAAACTAATAAGGTCGCAAACGATGTGCCACGCATAGCGAGGCAGCAGCGTTTAATACTGCCATGATATTGGAACCTGTAGGTTAGGAATAGCTTGAGAGGGCGAATGGAGAGGAGAAAAGTAGAGAATTTTGTGAGAGGTGCTTGCCTCGCTATTCTTGACCTGGAACAGACTATAACCAGATTTATCTCTTCAGAGTGAGGGTGCCCACTCAATGCCCATTCACACACGAGCATTCGCCTACGTTTTTCTTAGGTTAGGTTGCGAGTCGCCTATGCTTCGTATGCTGCGTGCAAAGCTACTCCTTGAACTAAATGCCACGCTTAACACTGAACACTGATGTCCCGGTAACTGGCGGTATAAGGACCCATAATATTATGCAATGTAAGCAAACGGTACTGTGTGAACAGGTAATAACAGTCATTATCATAGAATTCTAATGTAAAAAACCGCATCAAACTTTCCGGGAAAAAAAAAAAAAATTCTTATTAAAGAAATTTTTTACGTCACCCTCTCACATTTGAGATTATATTGCTCGTTACAGGCATCAACCAAGTGACACTTCTCGGCCGAGTGGGCATCGAGCCACAGCTGCGTGGCAGCGATGCTACCCCGGTGGTGGTCTTCACCCTCGCCACCAACAGCAACTACAGATACGAGACAGGCATGTCATTCTCTCCTGCCATCTAAGAGATGAGCTCGATACTAAACAGGGTCCCCAGACACCTAAAAGTTCATTTATTTACCGAAGCTGCAGCTCTTCACTGATAGCCATAACAGGAGTGGTATCAATGCACAAGACGGTTAGCAGATTGCATCGTCTTAAATGCGAGGAAAAGACACCCACCACCCTGGTTAGACATAGAGTCGCTTGATAAGCGACTCTACGTCCAATATTTGTGTCTCCATCGCTGCTCGCCTTCTTGCGGCGGAAACAGGAACTGCTCTGGCGAGTGTTTCCCTGCTCCCTGCTCAACAGGCACGGCGGAGCTGCTCGGGATTGTGACGCGCGAACAACCATTTCTGAATGAAAATGACTCTTTGAACGACATGATGCGCTGTCCCGATTTAGTGCTGTAGCCTGTCTGGAATTGAATCCCTCCGTTTCGCCAGTTTTCCAGCACTAACGATATGTGACGCATTGAACTTTGTTGAAGCATGTAGGAGTTTTCGAAACTGGAAAGACTAAAATAAAACAATTAAAAAAAAAGTCTTGAATTTTGTAATTAAGAAAACAACACTACTCGCCTTTTGTTTTTCATGGCGTTTGATCCGGCAGCAAATATTTTGCAGTTTTGCCTATTGTTAAAGGGTAACTAACAGGGTATTTATGCTGGCCGAGGTTTTTTAGTTGTACACAACGTATGAGAGCCAACTACCCAGAACAGAATATCTGGCTCAAAATTTGGTTTCTTTCCGCCCGAAAACCACCAATCAGGAACTGGCCGGTTGGAGTCGCGCTCCCTCTGTTTTCTGTGGTCACGGGCCGTTTTCTAAGGTGTGGGCACAACCACCAAATTTAATCAAAATTGTGGGTCATTCGTTCAATATTAAAAATAAGCAAAAAGATGAAACCCATTTTTTGTGGCTTCTAAAAAGCTGCAAGTACGTTGATTGAGAGAAAAGGTTGCACAGACGACCGGAAGCGTTGGCTGCGTAATTCTCAACATGGCGTCGTATTGCGTATCGTGGGGCTCGCGGGCTGGACGGCGATGTCGGCGGATGATGGGCATGGGACCTCTACATCAGAGCTGTCGTTCGTGTTACCGGTGAATCTGTCTTCCTTCGAAAGAGAAATTTTGGGCCGATCAAAACAATTAGGATTCATTCTGCACGACACGCCTGACCATCAAGCTGATTTGCACGAAAACGTCGCTAAGTCGTCGCCCCTTCTCGTGGCTGAAGACATCACTAGTCTTACGAACACGAAGTGCATACTTCAAGTTGAATATGCATGTGTACGATTTCTTTACTAAGTGTGAATCTGGCCAACCCGTGGTGCTGCCCGACTTCAAGCCTGGCGAGTGCCTTTGCTGCAGGGAAATCGGCAGCAAACTTTCTGACCTAGAGTCGTCTGGCTGCATCACTACTAAGGAGTAGAGATGAAAAGGTTTAAAAAAAAAAACGAAAAAATTCGAGAAAAAAAAACACGTTTTTTTGTGTTTTTTCAAAGAGCCAAAAGTCGAACAAAACATTCAAAATTTCCAGTCACATTTTTGCTTCACAGTAACACTATTTTGGGCAGTCCTACTTTTCATTTTATTTTAGTAAAACAATAATGTGACTCAAATAAATAGCAGACAATAATTGAAGTTGTCATTTTCAAATGTACAAGCTCTGTAACTCTTTGAAATGGGATTTATATATTTAGTGTCGTCGAAGTGGTAAATTTTCGGCGATTTTGACGATGTGTTTTACGCGCACTTCAACATTTTCAAACATCTTGCGTTGTGGAAATTGTTTACTGCAACCAATTATGAGCTATTTTTATTACTACAAACCAACCATCACACAGAACCGTAAAAATTGTGGGAGGAAATTTTTTTTTTTTTTTTTTTTTTGTTACATCAGAGGGCTGAACACGTAAAAAAAATAGCAAAATTTCCATGCACAATTATGTTTTAAAAGTATCACATTTTGTGCAGTTCGGGTTTTGGTTTTGTTTTGCGAATACAAAGCGTACTTCGATGAAATCGCGGCCAGCAATCGCTGTCGCCATTTTCAAATGGCGTGTACCTAAACCAACGTTACTACAACCACTCAGTTGGGAAACTGCCATAGAGACTGCTCTGAAAAAGTGGCCCCGACCTGTACTCCGGAACCGAGCTAATGGCAAACACAACGCCGCCATTTCTCCCGCAGCGTACACACAAAACTTGTGTTTTGTGTACACACAAAACTGCGCAACCGGCTTGCAAGTGAACATGTGAAAAAACTTGTGTATGTGCACTCAAATCTGATCCTGAAAAAATCTTTGACCGACGTGAACGCGAGTGTTCCTCTATCCAGCGATTCCGACTGGGAACAACAAGTGTTTGGGGACATATGCAACGCTGTTTAGCCTTATCAAAATATGGTATTTCTGCTTGGTAAGCTGTTGATATTACATAAACCTTAATGTGAAGTATTTCAGATATTAAAACTTCCCAAATGCTCCTGCTTTATCATATTGTGTTGATGTAAAAAATGCGTCCACGCAGCAGTCTCAATTTTTCAAAAATTTCCAATTTTTCCTAAAAAAAACGTTTTTTTCGGGCTATCCAATATTTCACGAAATTTTATATCTCTACTAAGGAGGAGTCCCCCCTTGTCTGCCTGAACATTACTATGTTAAAACTATCGTATTTCGAGCTTCACGATAGGAAGCTCCCTGCGCCCAAGGACATTCACAAGTCTATGTTGTCAGGAGAAACGATTACTTCATATTGTAGAAAGTAGCTCGACGGAAAGGTGTCCGCTTTACACGCTACGAACCCAGGTTCAATCCAAAGTGTGGGCATATAATTTTTTTTTTTTGTCCAACATTTTGCGATATTTACACATTTCTTTTTTACAATTATCACTGAAAAAAAAAATGAAAAAAAAGTTGTGATTGAAACGTTGCTGAACTAAATGGCATAGAGCTCCCTTTTTGACATTCGTGAACTCAATGTAGTCACTTTGCACAAAATGCAAGGAGCATATAAATCGAATAGCATCCGCTTTCTGAGATGCCCGTAACAGTTTTGCCGGAATTGCAGCCAGCCATTGGTCCCGATCCCGTTGATCCTTCGGGAACTTGTGGAGATCGCCGTACAATGGCACTTTTGGATGCAGAACCTGTGAGGCAGCTCCCCACGCAACATCTTGGGGACATTCTTTTCAGAGCCGGTCACGGACATTCACCACTCATTTCCTACTCTTCAGTGTACAAAGCAACTAATTTTGGAGAGCAGAACAGTAAGCGTAACAAACAACTGCAAAGCAATCGCATGGCAAACAGTACCTGCAATGTGTGCTTTTGCTCGGCCAAAAAAATGAATGGAGGGAAAAAAGAAAAAAGAAAGCCCAGTTGGGTGTAGCCACATGACTTACGGCACTCTCTCATTCTCTATATTTCTTCGACCTCCGTGCGTAGGTTTCAGTTTCTGTTTTGAGCAGTTGCGTTTCTTGGCTTTATTAAAAATATACATGATTGTAGCAAAATATTTGGGTAGTCTTCTGATGCCATATTAAATCGCCTAAAAAAAAAAATTTTTTTTTAAGGGGTGTTACTCTTTCTTTAAATTTTGAGAGCATTTTTATGTGCTTTATCTACTATTATTGCCAGTTTTTCGTGACTGTGTCGTACTAGCTTTTCTTAAAAGTCTGTTTCATATGTAGAACACCATTTCTTAATTTATGCATTTCGTGAAAGTATTTTGAACTCATTACCTGCAATAATATCTTTCGAAATCTGAATTGCTTTTATTGGTTTGTTGGGAATAGTGCATAAGCAATGAGTCGTCTAAAGACCCAAACAGTCATTAAAGGTACACTGACAGGGTATTTATGCTCGCCGAGGTTTTTATTTGAGCATAACTTATAAGGGCCCAATTACCTAAAACTCATTTTGCGGCTCAAAAATTTTTTTTTTTCCGCCCGAAAACAGTTGGCTGAGAATTGTCCGGTTTTAGTCTCGCTTGCTCTCTTTTCCATGGTCACGTGGCATTCAAACTATGTGTACCAAGTATATTCAAAGTCATGGGCCATCTAAGGCAAACATTCAATATTAAAAATAGAAAATGAACCTCATTTTTGTGGCCTCCAAAAAGCTGCAAATACATTTATTGAAGAAAAAGCATTGCACAGGTCACAAGAAGTACATGTACACGTCTTTCTCAATATGGCAACGTACGTACTGCGGTCTGGACGACACGATGGCGGCGCACAACGGACCAACGTTGCGACGGACGTGAAGCGGCTACTTCGGAACTGTTGTTTGTGGTACCGGCCACTCTATCTTCAAGTGCAGAATATCGAGTGGAAGGGATGTAAGTGCAAAACAATCGCAAGACAAACAGTACATGCAACCAGACTTGTACACATTATTAAAAAAAAGAAAAGAATTATATTTACAATTACACAAGGCTAAATTGTAAATAATTACAGTTACAGTTACCCTTCCAGAAAAGTAAGTGACCATTGCTGCAAAAAGTAATTCGTTACTTTCGTGGCATCACTTTCTACCTAACTGTCTAGGGTGAGACACAAAACACAAAAGTGTTATGGATGCATTTATTGTTGCCACTACAGCCACTAAATATGCTACACTTCAGAGCAACGACACTTGCCCATCTTGGTGCTTAAACTTATGGTTCCCAGTTATCTAAAGCTGTATCTGAAATCACAGGAAACTCTTTTTCGTTCGCGATTTTGCCAAGATTTCTGCACCACTCGCGAATCTGACAAAGGACGACGTGAACTTCCAGTGGGGGGAGGAGCAAGAACAAGCGTTCAACGAACTGAAGAAGAGACTCCAGTCGTCTCTTATCCTTGGACAGTTCGATCCATCAGCAGAAACGGAAGTTCACACGGACGCCAGCGACGCCGGACTTGGCGCGGTACTCGTCCAAGGACAAGACGGAGCAGAGAGGGTGATCGCTTACGCAAGCCGGGCACTGTCCAAGGCAGAGAGAAATTACT